GGCGGGGTGGAGGAGGCAGGAAGTCCTGGCCAGGAACCACCCCCCTGAACCCCCCCCTGCATGTCGGACTCCAACTGCATGTTCACCCTGGAGTCCCTGAAAGCCGTGTGGCACGGACAGAAGCTGGACTTCTTCAGGTTGGCGCATGTGGGCTCCTCTGCCCCCAACCCGGAAGTTATCCAGCTGAATGGGCAAAAGCGTCTCCGGATCCTTGACTATGCCCGAGGCAACAAAATCAACAAACTTTTCTCTGTCAGACCATTGGGATGCCTCTGAAGCACCAAAATATGGAGTTTTACATAGACTGTTGATGGGGAAAAGTTGGAAATTCAGTCTCAGAAAAATTGGCGGGGAGAGGCCGGGCAGTGCCGGGAGCGGCAGCTTACCTGGAAATGCCACCCCTGGAAATGTGCCGCCCCAAGTACCTGCTTGATTTGCTGGTGCCTAGAGTCGGCCCTGCACCAGCCCCACTCCCAGGCCAGCACACAGCCCCGATTAGGCTGCCAGCCAGCTGCGGCCCCAGCTCCACTCCTGTGGCCCCAGATGGATATCCCCTGCTGGGCTGCTGTGGCCTGGCCTTTCTGCCAACCAAACTGCTGTGGCCCTGCCCTTGCTGCCAGGCCAGTGGGCACAGGGTGCCCTGGCCCCTGCTGGATTCCTGCCTACCTCTGCTCCGCTACCTCTGTGCTGCTACTGCCATCGGAAGACTGGGGTTTTCGTCCTGCTACCACCAGCCTGGCCATGCGCGGGGCTCTCAGCTGCTGGCCCTCCTGTCCTGGGGCTCCCTCATTCAGAAACATCCATGGTCCTGCTGGACCACGGATGTTCCCAGACAAAAGTCCTGGTTTTCGGACCTGCAATCTCTACAGCCTTAATATTAAATTTGGTATAGAAAAAAAATAGACTAACAACTATATTTTTTGCTCAAACTTGAGAATTCAAGAATAGTCCAGACGGAAGACCAGCAATTCTTATGAAGTAAGTATGAAATAAAAAAGTTTACCAACCTGAAGATTCTTCATGTTCAGACATATTTCTTTCATCATCTTCAACATAGCTTCCTTCTGAGAGGGAACACTTCTCATGATGTTGTTTCATTCAGGCAACGAGGCCTTGCATTTTTGCATTGCATTGTTTGCATTTTGCATGCATGCCTGTCTTATCCACAGGTAGAGAAACTTCATTAAAATATTCCCTAACAAGGTCTTTTTTATGGCCTGCTGCCATTATAGGGTTTCCGTTGTATGAAAGAATGGTATAGTAGATCTCAGATCAATGAAGGCTACGCTCAGAAAGACCTCAAGACTTCTGGAATATACTGCTCAGTTTCACTTTTGTTTCTACTGTCTGTTCTGCTCTTCTTCCATTTATCTCCAGATGTCTCCTTGTCCAGATCTATTCTGCCCCCAACAATCTTCTATTCATTAATTTTTTTTTAAACTTTGCAATTCTGTGTACACAACTTTGTAGCTCTGTGTACACAAATTTGCAGAGGAACAATGTGTTTGAGGTCTGTTATTTCTATTAAAGTGCTTATTCACAAATGCTAGAAGTCTAAATACTAAAATGGATGAAGTAGAGCAGTGATTCCCAACCTTTTTCATACCATGGACTGGAAAACCCATTCGCAAACTTTTGGCAGACTGGCAACATTTTATTTGCATATTCATTATGCAAATTCATTGACATATTTGCATAAAATCATTAAGATCAGTGTCTGCAGATATCTATAACACTAAAAGAATTCTATTAAAATAATCCTTTCCTTTCTTAAGCCACTAATACCTATGTAAACTTTGTTTGAAATGTAATCATACAGATATCTATAACACTAAAAGAATTCTATTAAAATAATCCTTTCCTTTCTTAAGCCACTAATACCTATGTAAACTTTGTTTGAAATGTAATCATGCAAATGTCACGAGCTAGGCCTTTTATTCCAGTCTTCAAAAGCAGCCTAAAAGCTTTTAACCCACCTGAAATTTTGGCACCACCCAATACAGCAAGAGTAGGCAACCTTTTCAAACGAAAGAGCCAAACTACATCAAAATTCAGAACAAGTGGTAAATAATAGCATCAATTAAACATTGTACTCACACACTTTATTTAATGGGACTTCTGCTGCATCTGTTCACATTTCTTTGATGTTTACATCATAACTGGTCAAATTCAGTTTCATTGGAAACACACACACTCTGCAGGCCCGGGTGATCTCTCTCTCTCTCTCTCTCTCTCTCTCTCTCACACACTCACTCATTCACTTGGAGCTTCGCTCTGACTTCCTAGGGCTGCCCCATCATTCACTCGGAGCTTCGCTCTGACTTCCTAGGGCTGCCCCACATGCTGAGGACTGGTGGGCAACAGGGGTTGGGCTGGACTGGGGTAAAACCCAGTCGTCCCTTTCTGCTCTAACCACTAGCATGCACTCCCCTCCCCTTCTTGCAGAGAACACAGGTATCCAGCTGTGGATGTTGTGAAGAGCAGGATTTTAACAGGGTTCAAAAAAGAATTAGCCCCTCAGGCTGGTATTTGCCCAATTGTGAATTACCCTGATAGTCTGCATGTGGACCAGAGGTTGCTCACCTCTATCTTACTGCAAACTAATTTAACTGATATTGCAGGTTTCCTTGGTTGATGAGAATATTCAAACAATTGATAAAGCTCCATAACTTTTTCTTATAAATCTAGTGTTTCTGGATATGGGAATGATTTGCAAAATGACAGTGTGTTACCAAATCTTTGATTTGGCTACTTTGCTGATTCCACCAATTTCCTTGCCAGAAATACATTGATATTTCTGTACAATACAGCTGTACTAGCATTAGGTTGTATTTTGTGCTGGGGAAACAGAAAGAGACTTGTGGATCCAGGTACTTATCGAAATGTCTTTTAGCTGGACATCTAATGCAAAGAAGTGTTCATGAGACTTCCAGTACTTCCTGCTTTTCTTTGGGTCAGAAGTGATGTGAAACACAAGATATATCTTTTTAAAGTGTATGTGACCGTAAGAAGTATTTTAGAATTTATATTTGTTATGAGAGTCAATATCTCAGAGGGTATGTCTGTGTATAAAAAAAATTAAATCAACTAGAGTTTTTGCTCATCTAAAAAAAATTATCTAGTTCAATTTGATTTTCTAGGTGGTTTGGGTAGGGTCCTAATCTGTAAGGTACTTGAAGTGTGTCTCAAAGTTCTGCTACTTCCATATCTCTATAAGTCGGACCTTCCTGGTCTGGCACCCGTGGGACCTGAGCAGTCCTGGATGAGGGATTTTGTCGGATCAGGGAAGGTCGCTTGCAACTGGCCCCCTCAGCCTGCTGCCTCTCACTGCCGCTGCTTCCTTCAGCCACCTATCCTGTAGGTGTTCAAAATACCACATTATTGAATACAACATACAAAAGAAAGATTTGGAGAGGAAAAAGTTCTCCAGGTCAAACCACAGATGAGACCAGTACAGTTAATAAATAAGTACAAGCTCTGAAACTCATATAATGCTGGTTTATTCTGTCCAAATGAAATGTAAGGAAGTGAGAGTTCCCAAAAATAAATTGACATAATCTGTTTTGGTCATGGAGTGACTGTGGTCCATGTAAAGGCAGGAGTGGTAAGGGCCTAGAAGGCATGGGAGGGGCAGTGGTTGTGTAGGTGGGTGACACTGGGGGGATGGGGCAGCGAGGAGAGGATGCAGAGTGCAGAGGGGGGCACAGGGAGGGGCAGTGACAAGAGGGCACAGCAGGACACAGAGGGGCAGGGCAGTGAAGAGAGGGCACAGGGGGTGCACAGGGCACAGTGGGGTAGAGCAGGGAGGAGGGGGTGCAAGATACTGGGGGAAGGGCAGCGAGGAGGAGTTGTGGGAGCACGGGGGGGGGCAGAGCAGTGAGGAGAGGGTGCATGGGGCACAGGAGGGCGGGGCAGTGAGGAGGAGCCAGGAGGAGGGGCACAGGAGGGCGGGGCAGTGAGGAGGAGCCAGGAGGAGGGGCACAG